AAATAAACATAGCATACATACACAAATATGTACTCTGTATGTGTGTATGAGAGGGAGAGAGAGGGAGGAATCTCATAGCTAATTGAATTAATATGACAAAATTAAAATGAAGAAAAAAAAACATTTAATTTCAGTGTGACATTCTCAAAGGTGAGTGACACCTACTTTCCGAATTGTAAAAAGAAACAAATGAAATGACTCATTGTATGCAAGTATGAATAATTATTTAAGATACATTTGAAATGAATCGATGACTTTGATAACAAACTACAAATTAGCACCTTTTATTTGCTGATGAGATAGGTAAAACTAGTATTTTTTATTAGTAAGATTTAGGTAAATAAATACAAGGTACTGAATATTTATTGGGTTATTTATCTAAGTGATAATGAATGACTGGTAGAATTGTAATTATGCAATGTTGCCATGTTAGTTAATAGCTTGAGTTTGATTATTACAAGAGAATACTCAATTATTAATGTTTGGGAAACACGTACTTGTATAGTACTTATACTAATAAATGATTCCACATTTTGACTTTTAAAATAAAGTATCTAAAACTTTTGAGGGAGTAACAATCAGGTTTTACTAATTAACAATAGGAGCTAAGAATGAACGTACCAACTATATTAGGCAATAATTTCAGTTGCAACAGCTGTTATTTTCAAATCACGTTAAATATCAACGTAATTGTTCACGAGTCAATTAAAGCTAGACAATCATGAGAAACATGGAAGGACTGAACGGTCGTTTCATCCTAGCGTGGGACCCCTCAGCAGTGCCTATCCGCGATCTCGCTCCAGAGGATTTGAACACAGGACCCATCCCAGTTGTCTAGATTTTGAGCGTCCTTATGCGAGATCGATAGGCTAAGGTTAGAATCCCGTGGGCGAGACCGTAGATGCTCACTGCTTACAGGCTTCCCATGGTGGCCTAGCATCGATTGACTCATGATTTCAACTATTGATATATATGTTTATTTATCTCCTGCATGTGTGTAAATGTCTGCAAAGTATTCAGATATCTGTAACCATATGTGTATATATATTGGGGACGTTAGATCCCCAGAACTCACTTGGGAAAGGATCTAATTTTGTAATTTTATTTAGAAAATATGAATTTCTTTGTTTCCGCGCCAAGAGCGTGTAGTGGTTGTGCTTTGATAACTAATCACCCTCGTACTGTTACCATATAATCTTCAACGGTGCTTAAAATCAGAAGGTAAAAAGAAGCAGCTACTACAGATAATTCGGACCACACAGAAGAATGAGTAAGCGAACTACGATTGTAGTAGTAGTAAGTGTAAATGTACATATATATATAGGGAAATGGATGAGTCAACGAATAGGTTAAGCAGTTAATAATGAAGTTGGCAGAATGAATATATGCGTAGGCGGTAAACAATGTCCGTTCACACATATTTCATACAAGTACAATAATGATAAAAGTACAACAAGTTGTTATAGTGTGAATGACTTTGTCCGCTAGCTAAGTTAGCAAAAGGGCTTAACTGAGTTAAATGAGAATAAACTCAATTGCACGTGAGTCGCTATGGCCACTCTTCTCGTATTTTCAACTGGAAAATATTTTAAATGCTATGGGTCCGTTGCGTCCATTAGTATGCTATTTGGTAACTCACCCCAAGGACGGTTTTGTACTGTATATATGCGTTTTGAATTGGTTTCGTGTTATCGCTCCTTTCTGGCTGTTTGCAGAATATACTTTCCCATTCCATGCTTGGACTTTTCCCTCTAGTTAGTGGGGCTGCGACGCACCAATAGCTAGCTTACTGGTCTTTGGTCACCGAGTCTTGTTTCTCGTTCGCAGATTAAGTGAACTCGTGACAGCTTCAACCCTAGCAATATATGTATAATTTCATCTTAATCTCAGATCATTATTAGTAAATACGTAAGTCGTAATAATTGATTTACATTGTTACTATTCGCAGTATATACATAACTAAAGTTCAATAATGTTATCAAATAAGGTATCACTAAATACACAACACATTTTACATTCAGTTCATATCACAACAACGTATTATTAATATATATGATTACAGATATCTGAATACTTTGTAGACATTTACACATATATAGAAGAAAAATAAACATATTTTTCAATAGTTGAAATCATGAATCAATCGAAGCTAAACCACCATGGAAAACTCGGAAGCACTGGACGGCCGTTTCGTTCTATTGTGGGACTCCTCATTCGCAGTCTTGCGAGCGAACGCTTAACCACTAGACCTCTGATCCGGCATCCGACGGTGTTAATGTCTAACTTCAACTAATCCACGAAATTGAGCTATACATTCACCATTGTCATCAGTGAGTTACTATCCCACAACTGACCTGGTTGACTCATCTCAACTAATGAAATTACTACAATCTCCCCCCTAAACAGATATTTATTTATTAAAATAATTTATTCACTATTAGGATAATTAAATTCATGATAATTAATGATGAGGGGTAAATGTTTAGTAAATCTATCATTTAGAAATGAAATGTTACTATTACAATTTAGTTATATTTGTAAATATACATATTATCAAGATGATTGAAATGAATTCATTAACTGTTCGTTTAAAAGTACGGATCAGATATGAATAAGTAAATAATGATCATCTTTAATTTGTATGTGTTTCGCCACAAATATTTACAATAAAAAATGTATAGTTCTAGGTAAGTTTCCGATAGAAAATTAAAATAAATAGTGTCAATGGACTATGTTGAACTCGTTAATTAATGAACAGAATTATCAATACATGATCACATTAATGTGATAACTATCATACCGATCATACAAAAGAGAATCATTCATATTACCAATCTGTAGGGTCTATATACTAAATAAGAAACAACTAATAACTATTTGTATGGATTTAAAATTTATCAGCAATGCATCAGAACAAATGAGTCAAGTCAAAATATAGTCTTTTAAAAAATGAAGACTATACTACTTTAAGCCAATAGTGTTAGTATTATCCATAGGCCATTAGTCTGGAGGTGAAAAATATTTCAAATGATAGAGTTACGTCTGTTAAATGGATTAAATGTGCATTTCCCAAGTTACAATAATTATATTTTAACACTAAAAGTAAATACTACTGATGTTAAGAGATAATGTTTCCTGGAACATGTTAACAGATATTGTAACAAGTATGTATTTCATAAGTTACGTGATTAGTTATATGCTATAGCAACTCTCCTACAATCAATTTCCAGTATGGTTAATTTTTATTAAGCCCTTGCATTACCTTCCTTAACAGACAATATTCTTCAAACAGTAACAATTAGCATTTTTCTCTGTACTATTGCGACCAATATCTTCTCTGTATAAACGTGTACGCTTGACCACATAACAGTCTACACACATATCTCTCTGGCTTAAATATCGCTTAATGAATCATTCTGTTTCCCATGATATATGTACTCGAATCCTACTAATAGTCTCTCCCTTGACTAGCTGCGCGTTGATTCGATTTGACTTTAAAATTCACCTCTATATTCGTCGCTCTGCTTCATATTCGCTCGATGTGCTTATAGCTTTGTGATCTGTGTTATCCTCTAATAAACTGTAGTCGCCGCTTCTTATTGCCTTCTGATTTGAAACACCGTTGGGATTTATATGATAACGGTTATCAACTTTATTGATTAACAAAGCTAAGCCACTACAATGCTAATATATTGTTCATATACGTGGAAATGTGTTGATCTCCTAAATTGAATTTTTAGTATTTATTTAGCCTGATGATACAAAAAAGTCTTGTCAAACTAATATAACAGATTTCCAAGAATTTTGAACAAATCCACTCATTCGATAAACAGCTACTAAAATTTATTTAGGAAATAAAGAATCAGAAGAGCTCTTTTTGGAGATTTTAATTTTACAGTTAAATTGATGAGTCGGTTCCTAGTATAGGGAATTCTCAACATTACGCATCCATGACCACGCCTCACAAGATTCGAACCCAGGACCAATCGGTTTCGAGCGCGAACGCTTAACCTCCAGATCCATTCGCTAAAATATTATGGTTAATTTCAGCACTAATATGAAATAATCGTTATGTAGTTGAACAGTTAATGAACCCGATTAATAAATTTAGCTCAGAGTTAGTAGTAAACATTACGGGTTAACTTTAGTGCATGCAATTTTTTCGTAACTGACTAGTTTCAAAGTGATATTACATCATACCTGTCTGGCATTTTGCTGTAAACTTTGAAAATGGCCATCGTTGTTTGCAAAAAGCTAATATCTGGTATTAGCAATTACGTAATTAGTTTGATATACTACACTACATACAAGCTTATTGATTTTTTGAAGTAATAATATTATATAACTTATATAGGTCATGAACAATCATCACAAATAATCGCGTTAACACATAATAAATATGCATGATATGAATTGGGCGCAGACAACCAAAAATGATGTTCGTTTAGGCCTTAGTAACTAAATAAATCAAAATATTAATTTTTCAAAAGTTATCAACAACTTTGTTCCTGTTTTAATACACTGCTATTTTGAATAGTACGTACAAAAGCGAAACATAACTAGGAGCAAATACTTAAGAATTCTTCATTCAAGTCTATACTGGACCTCACTAGAAATCATTTTAGTTTCTTCTTCTAAACTCTAGTCGCTGATGACAACACATTTCTTGAGCATATAAAGTTCGATAAACGAATAATAACTGCATTTGAATTGAAGTCTGATCATTACATTATAGCACATACGACCAGGAAAATAGACGCCAACTCGAGTGTGTAATTTGTGTTTAGCCGTGGAATCCAGATAAATTTGGTAGAGAGAAGCTGTTATCTTATAGTAAAAGGTATCAAGAATTCATTATCAACATCACCATTTAGAAAACAAACATCGAAATACTGACAGTTATCTAAATCTTCACACTTGATCGATTATGTACGATCAACCTGTTTCAATGGGACAATACATTATTATACTTTAAAACAAAACAAAGAAAAGACTCATCATTTGAATCATGAACAACTTTTGTTTATTTATTCAATAAAGAAATAGAAAAGAAATCAAAATATAAAAAAATTGTCAGGTTGATTAATTACAAATTAAATCAATTCTCTATGGTTTTTTCTTTAAAAGTAGAATACAACCTATCTATATCATTGTTTGTTATATAATAATTTTACATACACCAATAAACGATTCTCAAAAGAGATATTCAATTTTGTCCATATTTTTTGTATGTACAGATGGGACATTATATGCAGATAAGTAATCAATTTACAAAAAAAGAAACAATTACATGCAATTTTACTGCATATGACAAAGTAAATCTGTTAACAATCTAAATGATCACGTTTCAGCTACTGTCATAATTATAGTAATAGTTAATCTAAACATCAGATCACAGGTAAGACAAAGTAGTATGTACACACTTGGTGTAAAATATTAAGTATTCTAGAAATTAGTTTACACATTTATTTGATAGCACATGTGATGGACGTATTGAATGTCGAAGTTTTTTGGCCCATGTAAAATGACGTACATTGCTATTATTTGTTGTGGTATAAATACTAGAATTTGATTGGTATCCTAAGGGATCACGAGTCTCAATAAATGAACATTTAGGTCTTCTACAAATATCAGTATTATCATTTGTGAGACTACTAGTGTTTATCTCCTTTAGTCTTTCTGTGGCAAGAGATGGTAATATTGCTGGGCTAGTAATACACTTTTTTCTATTTATTGTGAAAGGTGTGTTTGCATTAAGTGAACGACGTCCTGAATTTGTTGTAACTTTTGAAACAGCACGTCTTAATAAAGAAAATGGTTTTAAACTTAACCGACCTTTAAGAGCACTTCTGGAATTCACAAGTGTAGCTGGGTTATTATTAGGAGTTTGCGAAATAAGACTTTCTTCGTTCTCCTGACTTTTATCATGACTTTTTGGAGTTTGCAACGAATAACAGTTTAAATGGGTCTTTGAATGAAGTCCATCATCAGATGTATTGACTGATCGTGCTTCTTCACTATAACATATGGAAGATGGCACAGACGCTATTTTACCCTCACCATGTGCTGTAGAGAGATTGTTGATAGTCCTAAAGTCAGATTTATTGAGTGTTGTTGATGTATCTATGTTGGTAAGGTTATTTGAATGACAACATTGACAAATATGGGACTCAGAAGTAGCTATAAGATGACCATGTTCCGAGAAGCAGCTGCATATACATCTGGCAGAAACTGCTATTCCAAAAGGTAGTGTATTAATATTTTCTATGAGAGTAGTAGGCACTCTTCTTCCTCTTTTGTCAGTATGTCTTAGTATAACCTTGTTTTCAATTGTTTCTTCTAAACAAATTTCTGCTGGTGTATTAGAATATTCATCAGAGCCGGTTGTTTTGGGTTTTGATTTTTGTTTTTCCTCATCATGTAATTCCTCATTTATTTTTAAAACCCTTTCTTCATATGGAGACGAATTGTTTGTCTGTGAAGATAAACATGAACAACCTGAAGTCGACCAGTTGGACGAGGATGTATTTGATGAGGTAGTCTTTTTAGGTATGCACTTAACACAATTCAAGTTAGGTGATCCAAGTATGTCAGTGTATTCGACAGAAGCAGATGAATTGTTGAAACCAATACCTGATGACTGTGTCGTTACACTTAGTGGTTGACGTTTAAGATTTTTAAGTTTCCCATCAATTGAATAACTGAAAATCAAAAATGAAATAAATGAAATAAATTTGTTGAAAAAAATATAGATTGAGAACCTAAAATTATATTCTGCATTTCAAAGCATCAATATTAGTATTAACAGTTATTATTACCTTTCATGGACTGTTTTCTTTTTTGTATTATCCATGTATTCACTGGAACAATTTTGATTATTGTTGAATTGTGGAAGAGAGCGAACTCGAGCAATTTTGTTCAGTAGACTATGTGGAAGATTGTATGTATCATCAACAGAAACAATGAAGAGTTCTGATGATAATGAATGTGAACGTTTGGATGTTTTAACATATTTTCGACGTCGATCATGAACAACCGTTTTATGTACAGTACGATCTGGAGATGTTAGTTTATGTTGAACGACAGCGCTGGTTAATGTCTGTTTATAAAAAGAACAAATAATTCATAAGTAAAACGTCACATCGCATTGAGAATTACTGGAAACCAATTAATAATTATTTTCAGTCAGATTTACTAGTCCAAACTACACCACTATTGGAAACTTGGGAGCACCGGACGGTCGTTTCGCCCTAGAATGGGACTCCTAAAGGGTGCGCATCCACGATCCCTCACCAAATGGACTCGAATCCAGGACATTCATTCTCGAGCGCAAACACTTAGCCTTCAGGCCACTGAAGTGGCAACCAACAGTGTCAATGTCTAACTTCAGTTGATTCATGGTATGGCGCAAACCTTCATCCATTTTCACAGGTAGATAACTGTCTCTATCCGACACGGATTGCACTCCACTTGTCATGACTGCTCAGTAGAACTTCAGGACATCTATCTTGAAGTTAGTCACCAGTGAGCACATGATTATTACCAGTATCGGGAATTGTGGTATTTTCACGGTCGAATTCACAAGTCAACCACTAAAAAATAATAACGACAAAACGGCCGTCATGTAGTCTAATTTGGATAGACTCTTGAATTCAACTGTGAAAATAAATAATTTATTCACCAGTTTTGTGTTATTTTTTATGTACATGTACATTTATTTGCATTACATTTCTGCTCAACTTTGTTTCCAGCTGTGATAAAAACTGAAATTGAATGAGATGTTAATAGTTATTCAGAAAAAGAGATCAGTAATTTTATAAACTCATAAACTACATATACAGTACGCTTTCATTTAGATGTTACTTTGAAAGAAATGAAAGTAGATGATCGAGTTAATGAGTTGCATGGATCTTTCTGTCAAGTAAGTTTGCTTTTTAGCGACATTCAAAATGCCCCACTACTTTTGAAATTATTTGTAATAGATAATGAAATAGCTGTGGCATGCAAATTAATTGTCATCATTTAATTATAACTCACCGGAGGATTGGTAGTACTGGAATCAGAAGGATGATGGAAACTTTTGTTCAAAGCAGTAACATATCTAGTTTCTACAGGATATAAAACTGAATTAGATGAGGTGGATTTAGATTCAGTTGTTATATCTTGCTTAATTGGTGTTGCATTTATTGTAGTAAGAGGATCTGGATGAAAGTATTCATCAATAACTTGTTTTACTGGACATTCTGCAACCAATTTCTCACACTTGAAAGATTCTTCATAGCAGAGCTTACTATGACGTGGGAGGGTATGTTGTATCCGTCTTCCTACAATTGTTGACTGAGGGGCATCTGTAAAAATGTTGCTTTGACGTTCAAGACAATTGTTTGGAATTTTTGTAGTGGTATTAGGTGTAACCGGTGTGGAGATATCATGAAATTTTATTGCATCAAGCTTTGATCGTCTAGGTGATGCACCGCTCCCTATAGTCCAGTTAGAAGAACTAAGTTTAAGTGGATTCCATGTTCTTCGTCGCTTGCGAAACTGGTTTTGTATTATTTTTCTGTCAACTGAAACAACAGGCTGCTTTTCATTCAATTGCTGATTTGACAATAATATATTTTTTATATGATTCATTTGTTGAGTGATATCCTTCAACTAGGAGTAAATAATAAAATCAGAACAAATTTTCATTATGAAATTTGATTGCGACAAAGTATGAATAATTAAATGACAGAACAAATTGAATTCTCAAAATCTATAGAATGCTTAGAACAAAACACTGACTAGTGTAGAAATGAACGAATCCATATTCGAACAATAATTAGGAGTAAGATGTGTTTAGAACTACCGGTAGGTATAAAACTTAAACATCTGCTATCATATTATTCACCAAAATTATTTATTTTTATTTATTTATTTGAACACATAAATATTGGTACAAGAGAGCGCCAATATATATGCGCCACACAAAACAATGGGAATTCGAAGAGAAGTAGAAAGAAAAAAAAACTAAGGAACGCAAAAGAAAAAGAGAGTAATGACGAAGAGGTACAATCAGAAGAAATCTTTCAGGTAAAGGAGACACAACCACTTTTTATGAAGAAAGTAAAAGAAGGTTACAGCAGGATCGCCACTGGCTTCTATTCTGAGCCATATCTGATAACGTCTCTAGCCACTGTGTAGCACCATCTCTCGGACCCCAACCAGGGAGTCGTGAAGGACCAACACAAGCCAGTCCTTTGCAGCTTTCTTTCATGCCACGACACCATGTCATGCACTGACCACCTCTCCGCTTCTTCCAACCAGTCCCAGAGTCGGCAAATAATGCACGACGTGGAATTCTCTGGGACGACATTCGGAGAACATGTCCAAGCCACCGAAGTCGGTGTTTCAAGATGGTGACACCAATTGAGTTATCATCTCTGTGCCCGAACACACGATGCCGAACCTCTGCATTACTGACATGGTGTTGCCACTGAATGTCAGCAATCCTTCGGAGACAGCGATGATCGAACACAGAGAGTCGTCTAACGTCCTCAACTCGGAGAGGCCAGGTTTCACAAGCATAGAGCAAAACTGCTCTCACCGACGCGTTGTAGATCCGGCCTTTTACAGCCAGACTAACATCACGAAGGCGCCAAAGGTGGCCCAGATTGGCATAAGCCGCTCTGGCTTTCACTATTCGTGCATTGATCTCATCACTCACACCCACACCAGCACTTATGCAGCTACCTAGATACACAAACTTCTCAACTACGTCTATCTGCTCACCGTCCAGGGTGAGTACAGGATTAGAATCCTGCCAGTCTTGTAGAAGTACTTTGCACTTCGAAGGTGCAAAGCACATACCATACCTACGGACATTGATTGCCAACTGATTAAGTGCGGATTGCATGCCTTGGGCATTATCGCACAGTAAGACAATATCGTCCGCATACTCAAGGTCGAGAAGTCTTTCTCCAGGCAACAGATCCACACCACCATTACTTACATTCATCAGAGCTGTTTCCAGAATGTCATCGATGGCAAAGTTGAAGAGGAATGGTGAGATTGGGCAACCCTGCCTAACCCCACTGCTCGAATGGAACAATGGAGAGAGGTGGTTGTATGCCCTCACTTTGCCTGAGGTGTTTTTATACAGGGCTTTTAGGATGTTAAACTTCTCAGGCACACCCTTCTTCAATAGACAATCCCAGAGAACAGTCCTATCCAACGAATCGAAGGCAGCCCAAAATGATCTATTTAAAGTCGTAATAAAGGCATCGTATAATATAAACTGCCCCTAAATACCCTAGTATGGTTCTGGGTGTGGAGAGCTCACTCTTCCTCTCAAAACGCTCTCACATAGCCATGTGTATACAGACTCTATCAGGGAAGTCCTACTCACTTCCTCATCTCGGAGGGGTCAGTCAGCTACAACGTAGGACCAGGAACATATACGCATCGGTTAAATTGCTACACCTCATTAGCACAAGATGAACACCAGATTCATAGAAGTAGTTAATTCAGTGGTGGTAATATATAAAAGAAAGATTGCATATAACGACATAGTACAGGAAGAAAGAATTAGTTCTAAGAAAGATAATGAAGCGATTTTAATCTCATAGTTTAAGGGAAGATAAAGACTGTATACACCGACGCCATTCTGACCGATTCTCAGCACTGACACCCAGAGTATCCAACTATTGGTTACGAGTCACGCGGACCCCAACCACGTAATCTACATGTACCGACATGGCTCAGACCAGAAGTTAGTGACCTCAAGCACTGATGCCACGTTTTGGTTCGCGGAGTGCTTAAATAAGAAGACGAAAAGAGAATGTCCGACTCTTTTACCGGGTTTGTGGATATGAAGGATCCACTTGGCAGAGTTGGAAATCAATGATTCTAAATCAATGGTGAATATATGGTTTTAGGATCCTGAGAAAACAAGTGGCGTATGGACCTCTTGTTGGTCACAGGCTACCATGGGACTGCATCTGCTAACGTTGCTCCACTGCCTTGTGGATTATACCTCTAGGTCAAAGGCTCGGGGTTTGGTCACCTGAAAAAACCATCTATATAGATTTGGGCACCTAGGCAGTATTCCGGCCCTCACACAAATCGAACAACGAAGTGTGGCACATATATATTCGGTGCCTCCTTTTACCAATGTGTTTAAATAAATAGACAGTAATATAAAGTATAGTAACACCACCGAAAAAAAACAAAGTTACGTACACCGTTTGTTGACTATTTAAGTCACTAAATCACAGAACTAAATGATAATCACAGAGATATTAAAATAGAATCAACACAGAGCTCTTTTCAACATACAAACGAGTGTTACAAAAGATTAGTTATATAAGAAGCCTATGTAACGCGATAAACAGTAACAGTAAATACTGATGTGGAAATTACCTTTTTAGAATTAGATTTATATGCAATTTTATATGATTCAAATTTCGTCTCTTTTGCTCTTTGTTTATGCACAGCATATAATTGTGATATAACTGCAAAATCAACTTCAAGTCGTCGTAATTCAATTTCATAGGCTACACGATCAATATCTTCCTCTTTTTCATCGTGAACATCACTGTCTATTTGTGTAGCTTGATTATTTTCAACTAAATCTTCGGTTACCAAGTTTTTCAATCTTAAATCACTATCAAACTTTTCATCTTCCAGACATTCAATGTTCTTGTCAGAGTGATTATGACAATTAATATTTGATGATAAATTACTAGGGTAATTGGATATTATTTCTTGATTATTATTAGTATTATTCATACCATTTTTAGTTGATCTGTGATCACTTCGAAGAGAAATTGTTGGTGAATAGTCAGCTGATAGGAATGAACTGTAATCAGATATTGATGTTACATGATTTAAGTGATGATAATCTGATGGAGTTAAATGAATATCCGTTTTAAATTTATAATATTGACGTTTATCAAAAGTTAAATGCCCAGAATTATAATCGTGAATAGAAGAAGTATTTGAATTAGAGCATCTATCAGTTAAATCAATAACGTTATATAACTTTTCATTTGGTAACAATAATTCAGTACTAATACTACGACCAAATGCTTCAACTAAACGTTGTGCTGTATTTTGATGACGTTTGGTAATTTCGTCATTTGGAAGTGAAAAATTATCGATTTCTGAATTGATTTTAGTTGATTCAAATTCTACTGAAGCATTTTCTGTTGGTTTATTAGTAGCCTATATAGAATGTAAAAAGAAGGATAAAAGGAATTTTACCAATTAATTGTAACGTAAAAGGAAACATTTTCGTAATAAATCAAAACTAAACAGAACACTATTAACTGAACCATAAATTATGTCCAAGTAGCAACAACATCTTAAATTCGATTCAACTTTATGTTAAGACAATATACAATTTACTTTTTAGTGATAAAAAACATGAAATTTTACGGCGGTTAACATGCTCTAGTCTAATGCAATGACATTTCTAATGTATCTCAATATCATAAATATTTATCAGCTAGCATGACTAATTTCACTTATCTATCCTTTCAGAACAACAGAAGAGAACTACTGTAAATAGAACATTTCAGTCCTGAAGTTGTATAAACAAGATGAACTGTAACAAAATACCTAATAGCCTTATGAAGTTGATCGTCAAGAAATTTTCACGTAGTAAGATTATCGTTGAATGGTCAAGAAGGTCAACAGCTACAGAATACAATCATTTATGGATATTTCCGATCTGCTTTAATTTTGTTATTTAACGACTGTACAATTAATAATTTAATCTAATTTTTATGATAATGTATATAATGGATAAATGTAAGAAGAAAAAAGTGTTTATTCCATGTGACGGACAATCATAACAAGAAAAGAAACGAGTGGAGAATTTGAATTTAGCTAACTGGTCATATGTTATAAGAAAACATCATAATGAAAAATAAAATAATCAAACACTTACAATAGTTAAATATTTCTTCTTTTTCTTTAGAAATTCATAATATTCTTGTTTCATACTGACTGTACTTGCTTTATGAACTAGTACATGTGATAAAGGATATGATGTATTCTTTACAGGTTTATTGTATATACCAAGTTTCATGCTTAAAGATTCATAGTCTGACGGTACATTTCCAGTAATTGACTGTTCAAAAAGGAAGAAAATTGAATTAAATTATTCTTAAAACTCTACTTATGAAATGAAATCTAATATTCAAGAGAATCCAACATTTAAAAGAAATGGTAAGGATATGTTTTGTATGATTGTACAGTTATAAGAACACAAAAAAGTAAAATGCAGTAAAATTTGCTTTCTGTATATCATACATGTTGTGTGAACGAGTTCGCGCGTGACCAAAGGTCCTGGGTTTGAGTCTCTTTGGTGAGGGGTCGCGGATGTGCATTGGTGAGGAGTTCGATATTAGGACGAAACGCCCGTCCAGTGATTCCAGGATTTTGATAGTGGTCTAGCTTAGAGTGACTCATTACTAAAATCTTCACAGATCCCTATTGTGATAACATGTTAAATGTACAAACAGCAAACCTCAATGAATGTATTGAAAATAGTGTCCAAATTCTACATCTTTAAAATATCTGACACAATTTATATAAATCGTGATACAACTACATTACAAGTTGTTATATATAGACATGTGCAATAAATTTAAATAATTGGTCAAGTTTAGCTAATTTGTAACTACTATTTAGATGAGGGTTTGTAATGGCAAAGAAATTCCCAACCCGAACTCCTTTGTTTATAACTATTGGTTTAACTGGATTTATGATCTTTCGGTTACAAAGGTGTTATAAACAAAATAGTTGTCGCACTTTAAGTATTCGTGATCTCTTTATGTCAAATAAAATAACGTTTATCATTAACACTAATGTCCAGCTACAAAAATATTCATTTGTCAGGTGGTTACAGACATTCAGAAAAAAACCAAGAATTCAATTTTTTGATTGACGAACGTTAAATTTTCACGAATAGTCATGAATACACTGTTTATTACTTACCCATTCTTCATGTAACAATGTCAGTAGCTCTTTATCAAGTTGTTCTAGTCGTTGAACAATTTGAGTGTGGCGTTGAAATAATGACTGTATATCATCACGAAGATAATTTTCAGATTCATCAAATGGATGCATTCCTGTAGATGGTTTGTAATGTTGTAATGAATTTTGAAGCTCTGGTATACAACCTATAATAAATTATATAATTGCATAGATTAAGGTATAGAACCGTAAAATAGTTGGTAATTTGTTCTTCTATAGAGAATGATGTTCAAAAAAGATTTCGAGAACAAAACTGATTTTACCTTTATTACGAAGAGATCGAACTGAAATGATAACCACGTGTTCAAAAAAACATTTTTTCTTAGGGAAAGGCAATAACATACAGTTTGACCTCAAGTGTTTTTTTAAGAAATGAAAAACACTCGATCGATGTCAAGAAGTGATGGAAAACAAACATAGAAGAAAAAAAGAATAACAAACTACGGAAATGAACTTGGACATCGAAAAAAGTGGATAAAATATTTTTTGTCTTATATAACAAAAACAAATCTTCATATCTAGGTTACACTAGCATTCAGACACTGAATTATGTGACTGATTACAAATAGAGATTATATATATATATATATATATATATATATATATATATATATATATATATAGGTGAGTCCGAAATCAATAAATTGTAGTAGTGAATTATGCGTATCACACGAAATTTATCGTCATTAGACTTAGCAGACAACTTCTTATGGTGGAGCTTAAATAAAGAAGTGAAAGCAGACATAAGATGTAAGTGATGAACAAGTAACAATCGATCACATTTAACTAAGATTCTTGTCGTTAAATTAGATTTGGTATGTTAAATATTGATTTTGGTGTCTGATATAATAATGACATCATAGTTATTACCAGTGCACCCTAAATGAAAATGTCACTATCCGAATAATTTTACCAGTAAGTGTACATACCATCGTTTTCTTCTTCGTATGACAAAATGTTTTTCGGTTACAAGTTAAAACATCATTGTTATATTTATGTAATTCAACTCAAGTTTCTTTTTTATTTTATCTTAAGATCATGACTAGTGATGATGTAACAGTTTCAATTGTTTATGGGTAAAATATCATTGAATAACAAATAGTTATGAATCATTTTGTCAAGTTAAACACGATAAGGAAAAATATTTCTCACGACTAAAGGTCATATTATTTATTATTGATCAAATAGACTTACCATCTGATGACTTTTCCATAGTATTATGTGATTCTTTAGAAATCGATTTTTCTAAGGATATTCCTTGTTTGTTTCCATTTAAATCCGCAGAAATCTGATCGGAATTATTATTATTCTCATACGGATTACTTCGATGATTGTCCTAAAATATTACCGAAGAAAGATGAGTAATACTCATGTTAGACGGGGGTACACGTATTTCGATGCATATAACAAGCATAAGGGTGACAGTTAATTGACTGAGTTGGAGCAAACAATTTATTAAACCTGATCACTCGATAAATATATTCGACTAACCTACGTAGTGTTGGATAGAGAAATATTATAAGATCCAAAATATTCGAGAAAATCTATAATCTTAGTTGTAAAATGTATATTTAACAACTTAGTACGATGACTTCATTGTTGATATATTATTGGTTAAATGCTGAACTACTGTAGTACAAAATGTCTAAACTACGTATCTTGATAATTGCAATTGCACCGAATGATCTGTATCAATAAGATTTTGACATGTGGATCAAATATATTCAAGAGCGGCGTAGAAATATCATAAACATCGACAAATTAAACGATGACCCAATTTTTTCAACCTTATTTCATTTTCTTATACTTGGAATAACCAGATATTATTGACAAACCTAATTTTTTCAAAACCAAGGCGGAATGTTAAGTGTATAAATCAGTACATTTATACAAACATACGATAGTTACTTCAATATCTATATATTTAAATGCCAATCGATGTCTGGAAAAGTTTCAGTGTATAATCAGTTTTCTGTATTGAAGATCCTAATAAAAAATTCAATTATCTTGATATGGTTTCTTTCCTTAAAAATGGATTATTAATTCATTCATATTAAAATTTATTTTGTGAAGTTATTCGATTACTGAAAATGTATCATTAAGTCCTACGATCTGATAATCAGATATCAACATATTAATATTTATCCTTAATGTTCATTCAGTCGTTATTTCCGCATCGAAATTGAATGTTGATTATTTTATTATGTGTACATACATACAGAACGTTCTATGCATTACAAGTCCTTTCCATTATCGAAATGATAAATGTACTTTATATATATATATATATATATATAGAGAGAGAGAGAGACAACAAAATTTTCACATTATGATCATATCAGATGAGTGTATTTTACAACATCTGTATTCAGTGAACGTATGGTCTTTGATTTTCATTCAGGTTTTTCGGGACACTATTGATCGGGGTTTCGCGTAAAAGATACTATCCGACATATAAATCTTCAAGTAATAAGTGTTTAGTTGGAAAAAATGTTTATTATCCAGACGCCAAACATACAGTAATAAAATATATCAAAGACGAAAATTCAGGGAGGGTCAGTGAAATAACTAACAGAGAGCTTGCAAAGGATATACTGAGAATTATATCGGGTTATAGCTAGTGACTACAAGTTATGTAAATGTGAGGATGCTAGATACATTCACTAAAGTTGTATGAATGAATCTTAAACATCATTTTCTTGACTTCGTTCCAGAATAATAATCGTGCAATGACTCATGTACTCAATTTCGAGCTGAACTGATGATTTCCAGCTCCTAAATCGCATTTCTAATGCTTGGAATCTGAATATCAAGTGAAATCAAGGGATTACAAATATTGATCTTATGATTAAAAACCAAGTACCATAACCACAAGTTGTAACGGTATGTATTGAGTGAACAATAAAATGGGAAGATGCACTAACAGAAACATGTTCTGGTGACAATTTAAAATGAATGTTATCAGAGAATAGTAACAACAAAGCCGCAAGTTAATAGTTGTCGAGTTATATGTGAGTCTATAAATGCCTCAGCATTTTTCCTATCAATCTCGAATTCTGAATTGACAAGACACTATCATTAACCAGTTCAGCAATAACGACATGGCAACAAGCCCACTCATATGTATGTATATAACTAAATGACTAATTCAACTGATTTCGAGACATTTTAACCGGCTACATATTACATTGCATCATAACATTTGATAAATTCATTCAGACTACACAGCAATTTACACGTTTGTTGCTGTGCTACTTAGTTAACCTAGATATTGAAATCGTGAGGTCACACAACTTTAGTTATCCAGTATATCATACATTGTCTAAATACGAGAAATTTTTCCATGTATGTATTTTATGTGAATAAAATATAGGTGAAAATTGCTAGGATATATTTTTATTTAGAATGGTTATATTTCAAAATTATTGAACCGATTTAAAACCATATTTCATATATTCCAGGTCATGAGAAATAAGAATTTTTATCTAGAAACTGAACTAAACTTTAGGCATTCGGGAAATTAGCTATAAACATCCCATATCTTTCTTAGTCATTGACGACAATGAAGGTTAAATACGTCCTCAACATGATTCAGTATCTTTACTTATTCGACTCATTTACCGAACACTTATTCGGGTATTAGGTTATGATCCACACAAGATATAGTGATATTATCCAGCGTCCTAAGCCAAAGTACGTGGAACAGGGTTCAAATATGAAAAGTCGAAGGGTTTAGTCATTCAGGATCTACTACAGTAGCTTTATTACCGCGGTCAAATTTTTAATGATTTTGTCTCATATTTTACAAATTATACTTCAATTGCTAAATCGGAGTATTCAGACGTTCATTGACGATTATATGTTATAATTATCTGTCTTATTCCTTTACACTATCTTTGAACACTCATCTTTTCAAAAGTATTAAACCACTGACTATATAATCAAAATGTTACTGATTATCAGGTTTCTTGATGTTTTTACACAAAAAAATATTACATAAATATTTATGAAACGTTTAATGCACTTCTAATCATTAAACTTACATGTAAAATATTATCATCTGAGTTCGGGTATTGGTTATCATTGTTACATGCAAGATAGGTGGTCATTGTATAATAAGAATAAGTATATTAGCTAATAATTCCAATAGTTGTAAATCCAAATCCAAAGTTTTTTTTGAATCCACTAACTGTAACAACACATTTAGTGTTTACGATTAGCGGTGTCAAATGTTGAATATTAACCCGTTTGTCAGGCGACTGGCTAATAGATGATTGTATCAATAATTAATCAAATATCATATACTAAACTTACACGAGACTCAGATTTCAATTGACCAATCATCATCTTAAAAGAAATGGACCAATCATAATGATAGTAAATTCAGTGAAATTTTCTAATGGCTGATTAGTTGGGTGTTTTTTTATTGGTTAATCAACTATTTTGTCTGATTACTTCAATTTTATCATGTAATTGAATAAAAATTTACAAATTTACATTCTCTTTGACCATTGAGATTAACTGTGTAAAGTTATAGAATGATGGGTAGGGAAAACGTCGACATCCATACTTTTTTCATACCTTCTCGTTTACGAGCATCCATTAGAAATCTAATATAGTTGATCACAGAAGCCATGTAGATGCATGTAAAAATGGTTGTAATCATATAATCTGTTCAAAAGATTTTTGAAATCTTTTTATTGGTTGGGATTAGTCTTTTTAACAGTGTTAGAAATTGTGTTTTATCTTGTAAAAATCCAAATACTTAGCTTTTAGTTATTTTTTGTTTTAAAAATGAATTTTAAAGTATTTTACAAATAAGGAAAAGAAACAGCCTTTAATCACATTACTCATTTTCCAAAAAACATCAAGGTATTCACCAATATATTCCATTCGTAATATTCGCCAAAGTGAAAAAAATTAGTTAAAAGGTTATCAGCTGTACAAAATGAACATTAAAAAATAATCAATCATCACTAGTAACCATATCAGACAACTAGGAATGAATGATAATGATTGATAAGGGTAATAAAGGAAAAACAGGCCTATAATCGTGTCACTAGTTTTAGTTTTTGAGAAGAATAATGGATATTAAAAATAATTTTCATTAAAAACTGAAAGTACCTGTAGAACTTTAGAAAAAGCAGCGATATTGGGAGACATTTTAACCCAGCCTGAGACTCTACAACAGTATAGACGGGTACTCTAGGTTTCTCAAATGGGATTACATCTGTTGGTCACTATTAGTCACTTGCCGGATGGATTTCTCAAAATTTTATTTACTCATCATGAAATGTGAAGTCAACCAACGTGAAGTTACCTGGCAAATCCAATCAAAATGAACCTCACCATATTGCAAAAAAATTCAGTGTTTTTGTTCACAAAATATGTGGACATTTCATTTTTGATCGGATACGAAGTGAGACAAAACTGGATTTCAGTGTCTCTTAGTTTTTTATGATTAGTCAGTTTACATCACTCAGTAATTAACACTATAATTAGATAAGTATATTCGTTCACATGTTAAAAATACACGCGAATTGTATTTGAAATAAATCAGACTTTAACTTGTGTTATTGTTTATATGTTGTGGACAATCTTTATTGCTTTTCAACAAAATGAAACAAAAATAAAATTTTAGACTACTGAAAATATTATACTTTTTCTAATACATTGGTATCATTGTGATGGAGGTCATATGAATAACTGACATTTAAGTGATTTAATGCATGTAGTAGGTGTTGAACAGAAACACTGTTATGTGCTTTTTCATTTTCTAGTAAATTTCTGTTAATATCTATTCATAGACAGATGAAAAAGATATTGCTTATTTGAATTTCTTTGAACAAGTAGCTCAAATAGTAAATGAGCATTACATCCTTCAAAATATGTTTAACACTGAGTGCTATAGTATACCTGAGTTTTAAAACTAGTAACTATACTTAATGAGACAGAATCTCCAGATAGAGATATTTAGCTCCTTCAAACGTTGTATTCATATCGTCGGATCATTGATAAAGGAGAAAATAGTATTAGTCGGGGACTAATATTTGTTTGTGTACAGAAATAGTCAAGTTTATCGATAAATCTCTGGGATGCTTAAATGCATGCTTTCAACAAATTGAATACATTTAAAGTAACAAATCCATCATTATTGCTAAATATCTGTCGAATTGCTTACCATCAACTCCGCATATATTAACAAAGACTATTCTTTTTTTTACAGTCGATAGAAGCAGGTCTTGAAATACATAAATGAGGACAGGATGCTTACTAAACTTCATGGGAAGAAAATAAGCCAAATTTTTATTTATTTCTCACCTATGATTCTAAGACTAAATATTTACATATAAATCATAAAAAAATGTACAGAATAAGCTTAAAAGTAATCGAAAGTAGAAGTGAAGTTTTTTTTAGTTCAATTTACTCGGATTCTTATTGTTTAATATGGAATTCTAGGATCGAAAACAGTTTCCATCATGGACTAACAAAGCAATCTACCATTGCGGATAAGGGAACACTAGATATATGTATTGTCCCAGTAAAAAACCTTAACAGTTCTGAACCACGACTTCGTAGCGGGTCAAACTCAAAGAATTCATTTTTCGTTGTAAGCGAGTTATCTTCCGAATACTGGAGTAGAATATGGTTTGTCACATTTCAAACTTCAGTCGATGCAAAGTGTTGTGTGTCCATCAATATTTATCATCGGTAACAACTGTCTCGCGCCTGATTTAGTTGAACCAAAACATTTTATGACACGTATGTTTCTGGAAAATTATTCAGGAAAAAACAATTTCAGTAGGTCAGATTATGAGTTTAACTTTTCGCAGTTCTCGAATTCATCGTTATAAAAAGGATTAAAAATATAATTCCCACATAATAAAATATGTTGGTACCCACCATATTCATATGAAAATGAAGAATAAACTGGAAACCAGTTGAATTATCAGTGAATTCATTCAAAAAGTGATTTGATTTTGAATAGTTGAATTCATATTATAAAATAATTCGAGGAAAATTTTTAATGATAATTAACGGCCAGTAGAAGGTAGAAAATAATGAATAATTATCTATTGTTTTAGAAGCCGTCAGTTATTCAGTGTTATAGCTCTATTTGGAACTAAACTCGTGGATCTGTTGGTCTGTAAATTATTTTGACTTTTGACTTTTTCCAGTTATGGGTGTACAACTCTTCATTACACTAACGAATTGGTATTTTAAACGACCAACTTTAAAATGAAACTAGACATGACACATTAAAATTCTTACATAACTATTACCAAAAAATATCCGCATTTTCCAGAGCACAGTTCATACAGGTCATCAGCATACGGGTATCTATAAATATTTGTTCCTTTTAACCATTTAACTTAACCTCTGGCTAACCCGCTTTCTGTTAAGGATGTAGACATATGCATATTTCATGATTTTCTTGAGTTCATTTTCATGTTGTAATGATTAGTTTGATTGAAATTCAGACATTTGTTTACAACATGTATTGGCCTAAAATACACGAGTGTAAACTCACCCCCATACTGTGTATGAAATATGTTTGGTATAACACAAAAAAAATCACTGTTAATTTCAAGACAGGTTAATCAATTCTTATTTTCCAGTTTTAAGTTTATTATTTTTCATGATAGAGTACATCCGATTACTTGAACGTGTTTGATTGAGATAATGAATCGATCAATGTTAGACCGTCGTTGGAAACCTGGAAGCACTGGAAGGCCGTTTCGTCCTAATATGAGACTTCTCAATAGTACGCATCCACGATCCCTCACCAAAGGAATTCGAACCCAGGAATTTCGGTCTCACACGCGAACACTTACCCTCTAGACCACTGAGCTGACATCCGACTGTGTTAATGTCTAACTTTAACCAATCCGCGAAATTGCGCGACCATCTTCCAATGATCTAAAGGTTAGCCATTCACGCGTGAGACCGAAGGACCTGGTTTTGAGTAGCTTTGGTGAGGGATCGTGGATGCGAACTACTGATGAGCCCCACGTTGGGACGAAATGGCCGTCTAGTGCTTCCAGGTCTTCAACAGTGGTCTAACATTGATCGATTACTGGTCCCATTAAAAACCTGATCAATCTCCACAGCCCTACACTGATATTTGAATGTCTGTTTAGTTATTTTGAAGAGCAGATAACGTAGACACCTTAAAACAATTTTACCAGGTTATGGTCCTTTGAGGACTATTCATTTATTTGCCTGAAACGAAAACAGTTTCGGATCTGTACTGACGATGATCACAGATTTCAACATATAAATCTTGGATCTGAATTGAAAAGCTGACAGGTATTTAACAAATAAAATTGTCAGGATATCGTAATAATATTACCATAAGTTAACAACTAATAGTCAATTTTGTACTGTGAATAATTGGCATAAGAGATAACGAAAAATGATGTCAACGAATTATCAAGATGTTAAAGGGAGATATCGCAACTTGACATCTTGATTAATAAAGCAGTGAGGTGAAGAGATTTTGACTCATGCACGGAACAATCACTCATTTAGACAATCAGTGCATACTGAATTCTACTTGCTAGCTTTCATAACATAATATTACTCAGTCAATTATCACCGAGTTCATCCAGTTTTAGTCACACCACGAAGATTAATTCATAAAAAATTATTTATCAAGTGTTCTGAAAAGTATACATCATCAAAATTTCCTTTGTTCCAAACGGTTTTGTGTATTATTCTCACTATAAATTATTTAGTCTATTTTAATTGACAAACTTTCAAGTTAATTGTCTAAGTGTCATATTGATAATTTGTAAATCCCTACTTCTTAACCTCCTTTTGTAAGTAATTTGCTTGATCTGTTTTTGGTACATTAACACTAAATTAAGTGTATCATACAAAACAATTTGAATAGTCAATCTCTCAAAAGTACAAAACAAGACTTTAGACTTACATAACAAAATAAGAAATCACTTATGTAATAATACACCTAAATTAAAATACTCCAAAATGACAAATTAGGAAGATATTCGATAATTACATCACAAACATGATGGGTATTATGACTAGAATGTATTCTTATTAACTGATCTGTACCAGTGGCAATCATATCAATCAATACCTATGAAACCTTAAATATCTTAATTTTATTCTTTACTAGTCTGTCTGTTTGTAAAATTCTTTTATACTATATTGAAAGATAAGGTAAGGGAAACAGATGCTAAAGTTCGATCCTAAACTAGACTATCGTATTCATCGATAACTTTGTACTAAGATATCAAACATACTCATAAAACTACAAG